TTCTCTCCAGGCAACTATGCACAGCAGCACAGTTTGTGTGCAGTACAACACCAGTATGCATCATACACATAGACCGTAAGTCAAAAGAATGTTTTTATAAAAGGTCAGATTGTTATAGGGCAGGGAAAGGGGCACCCCAGAACCCCTAAACCTGCCTGCTCTAAATAGTTTCTGCCATTCACCGCATCAAAACATATAGACCTTTAATGGAAAGGACTTTAATACAATTAGTGTGCAGTACAAAAAGACAAAGAACATAGTTTCCAAATTAAGCATCCAAAGTTACCCATCCCCTCGAGGGAATTGGCCCAAAGTAGGCCCAAAATCCTGCCACTAGTCTAAATGAAGCATCTGCCAGTGGGGACCCATAGAAAAGGGTCAGGAACAGACAAGTCCAGGAGAAAAAGAGCAAAATCAAAATCAAGATAAAAGCTGGCATTGTCACCTCCCCACAGGTCTCACCCACATCTGTGTCACCCAGTCCACGACCAAAAGGCAAGTGCAGTTTCTTCACATGTCTCTCTGCTCCATGTGCCTCCTCCAGGTCTCCTTTTGGCTCCATCCTGCTTCCTTCCTTCCTCAGTCTTCTCTCCTCTTCTTCTCCTCCCTGCTCAGCTCCACCCTCCTTTGGGTGGGGCAGAGAAGCTGGAACCTCCCCTTTTTCTGGGGACCCCTGTTACAAGATGACAAACAGTTTAGGATTTGCAGGCCACACATGGTTCTGTTACCTATTCTTTATTTTTTAATAGCCTTTAAAGATGAAAATAATTCTTAGCTTATGGGCCATTGAAATATAGTACATGGGTTTAATTGACTCTTGGCTGCTGTTTAATGATCTCTGATATAGACCATACAGTGAAAAAAATTACAACCCTTATATTTTTTTTTTTTTTAAATATTAAATTTTATTTTTATATTCCCCCATACAATTGCAAACGCCCCATTCTGACCCCAATCCTTCCCCTCCCGCCCCCCCCCCCCCCAAAAGTGTCTCTGGTTCATAGTTTTTTTGTTGATTTTGATTTTCACTTTCTTATATTCATTTTCCTGGTCCCTTATTTAAGTTTTCTAGATTCCTGCTATGAGTGAGACCATCCGGTATTTTTCTTTTTCTTTTTGGCTTATTTCGCTGAGCATGATCCCTTCCAGTGCCATCCATGTTGCTGCAAATTGCATGTGTTTATCTTTTTTGAATGCTGAGTAATATTCCATGGTATATATGTACCACATCTTCTTGATCCAGTCATCTATTTTTGGGCATTTGGGTTGTTTCCAAAGCTTAGCTATTGTAAACAGTGCTGCTATAAACATAGGAGTGCAGGTGCTCTTTGGAATTGATGTTTCTGTGTCCTTTGGGTAAATACCTAGGAGTGGAATTGCTGGATCATATGGAAGCTCTATGTTTAGTAGGTCCAGAAATCTCCACACAGCTCTCCATAGTGGTTGGACCAGTTTGCACTCCCACCAACAGTGCACAAGAGTTCCTTTTTCTCCACATCCTCGCCAACATTTGTTGTTGCTAGTTTTTTTAATATGTGCCATTCTCACTGGTGTGAGATGGTATCTCATGGTAGTTTTGATTTGCATTTCCCTGATTACAAGTGATGTTGAACATTTTTTCATATGTCTGTTGGCCATTTGCATTTCCTCTTCAGAGAAGTTTCTTTTTAGCTCTTCTGCCCATTTTTTGACTGGATTATTTTCTTTGTTGTTGCTGAGTCTCATCAGCTCTTTGCAGATTTTTGTGATCAGTCCTTTATCATTAGTGTTGGGTGCAAAAATGTTCTCCCAGTTGGTGGGGTTTCTCTTTGTTTTTGTTATTGTCTCTTTTGCTGTGCAGAAGCTCTTTAATTTGATGTAGTCCCAGCTGTTTATCTTTCTCTTCACTATCACTGCTTTGGGTGATGTGTCTGTAAAGATGTCTTTGATGTGCAAATCCCGTAGTGTTTCGCCTATATTTCCTTCTATGTATTTTATGGTTTCAGGTCTTATGTCTAGTTCTTTAATCCATTTTGAGTTGATTTTTGTGTATGGTGTGAGGTAGTGGTCAAGCTTCATTCTTTTGCATGTAGCGACCCAGTTTTCCCAGCACCATTTATTGAACAAACTTTCTTTGCTCCAATGCATAGTCTTTGCTCCTTTGTCAAAGATTAGTTGACCATAAATCTGTGGGTTTATTTCTGGATTTTCTATTCGATTCCATTGGTCTGTATGTCTGTTCTTGTTCCAATACCATGCAGTTTTGATGATTATGGCTTTGTAGTATAGTTTGAAGTCTGGGAGTGTGATGCCTCCATTTCCTTCTTTTTTTTTCAGTAGAGCTTTGGCTATTCGGGGTTTTTGGTGATTCCATATGAATTTCATCAATAATTGTTCTATTTCTTTGAAGAATGCCATTGAGATTTTGATTGGAATAGCATTGAATCTGTATATTGCTTTTGGTAGGATGGCCATTTTAATAATGTTTATTCTTCCAATCCATGAGCAGGGGATGTCTTTCCATTTCTTTGTGTCTTCTTCTATTTCTTTTAACAGTGTTTTATAGTTTTCTTTGTATAGGTCCTTTACCTCTTTTGTTAGATTTATTCCCAAATATTTGATTTTTTTTGTTTCGATAATAAAAGGGGTGACAACCCTTATATTTTTAAATCTCAATGGTCAGATGCTGAAGAGTAAGCAAGAAAAATTATCTATTTAACAAGCAATTTTTTGTTGACTCATATGTGTCTATGATAGATAAATTGTTGTAAGTTCAAAACAATATAAAAATTGTCATAACTCTTCTTAGAAGGTCACATAAAATAAAAACAAGGTAGATGATATTATGATGCAGAGTATTATGAGTCTAGGGTATTTATAAGGTTTATAAGGTGGTGTGAAATATACTTCTGAGAAAATGATGTTTATACTGAGATACAAACAAGTAATTTAAACTTTGTTATTTGAATGGTTACTTGAAAAAGGAGACAATCTATAACTGACATTAAAGTGAAAATATCCAGAAGGTAGTCAAAAGTCTATAAAATATGGAATTATGAGAATATTCTTAATTTGGAAATACAGATTTAGTTGATATCAACATATAATATTTTTATTGAATGTGATGAAATTTGGTGACATAACCTATGAAGTGAATGAATTGAAGGAGAAACTCTAGGAAATAATCCTTGAATTATTTAACGAGTAGTGAACTCTACAGGTCACAGAAAAAAACACCTAATAGGGCAGATTAAAGTATAACTTTAGAAACATAGACGATGATGGATGTGATTGTCTCACAAATAAAAGAGTCATCAGAGGAGCTTATTGTAACAAAATGAAAGAGGAATATTTGGTAAACAAAATGCCAGCATGGTATGCAAATTCATGGTCATAGTAGGGCTGGGGGATGGGATATTTTAAAGACACAAGCATATGAGTAGGGGACAGAAGCAATGAACTTCAGGAAATATTCCCTAAACTTTGTTTAATCCTTGCAGTGATGGCTGCACTGAGGTGATACAAAATTGTGCGTTCTACATACCTTATCTCTTCTCATTGGCATTTGATTTTGTTTGTTCCTTCCCAACTTTTGTTGCTCTTCCTCCAGTACTTGATTTGAACTTATTTGTAACTATAAATTATGCAAGATAATCTTAAAAACTTCTTGTCAAGCATTATTTATATTAGGTGCTTAATAATTCTTCTCTAGGGTCCACCAATATAAATTCCTTAGTTTAGCTTTTAAATTTTAATTGACTGTCCAATTGCTATCATAACATTGGTCTCATCTCTAATTCAACTTGTGGTCAATATAAATAATTAAATTAATTTTTAATGCATTATAGCAGTGCCTTATCTATAGTCCTCAATATTTCCCAGTTCTCATGTTAAAGTGATTATAGTACACTCCACAGATAGGCCATCATTACAAAATCTCTATGTAACTGGGCAGATACCATCTCTATTTTTCCTTCCTATACTTAAGAATGAAAATCTCATCAATTAAAAAGTATACCACTATCGTTTATTCTATTAATTAAGATAAATGTCCTACTTAGGTAGGCAATATTAGACCTGCATATAAACTTGGGACATACCCAGCTTAAAGAAAATAAGGAATAGATGCCCCATTGTGGCATGTCTGGAACTTGGAATTGGTTACTGCAGGTAAAGTAAAAGTTAATCTTCCCAAAATTCACCCTTACGGTGTGACGGTGTAACTGAAGAATTCTTAAGCAGAAATTTCTATATAAAATGGTTTCAGAAGGCAGTGCCCCCAGGTCACTCATAGAAACAAAACAAATTGTCTCTGGAAGAAAATCTATTTCAAACCAGGCCAACAGCTATAGTAGACCTCCATTCATTATATTATCCGTTTCAGTTTCTGAAATGTTAACATGTGTAAAGCATACCTATAAAAAGTGATGAAATAGGAAACATAACCTGTGGATAAAACAGTGATATGGCCTTGGTGATGTTAGAAACTGTTCCCAGAATCTGAATATTACATAAAGGCAACATTACTCTCAAAGAACCATTTACAAAAAGTTTAAGCAAATGATACATTTTCAGTAGTTTCAAAGATTGTATGTAATCTGAATTTCTGCTTTTGTCATTAATGATAATCCATTCTTTTCCCAATGAAGTCTAGACATTTTTTTATATATTTGTGAGCTTTTATAAGGAAAGAATTGGTTTTTCTGGGATTTAATAAAACAAATATTTAAAATTCAGTGGAAGGTGTGCCCAAAGTACAAATGACTGTAAAGTTGATATATGTTGATATTCTTCTTATGTCAGTACAGGGGTCACACCAGCAGGGGGACCTGGGGTGGTGTTCGCTTCCGCCCAAGGATGAGTCAACGGGGTCTGATGCAACAGTAGCCGGATGTTGCAAGATCCACGTAAAGCGCATATGCAGGCCACGTAAAGCGCATGTGCAGGCCATGTAAAGCGCATGTGCAGACTTTCCTATATATATTCCGGCCCCTCGGTAATAAAGAGAGTTCCTGCTTCCAGCCAAGTGAGTGTATGCATCTTTCATCCCCAGCCCCTCCGCCGTGTTCCTGAACCCCGTCGGCCTGCAGGACGGACCGACAAGTGGCGCCCAGCCTGGGACACTAGTACAAGGGATCCTCTGAGGGACAGATCAGTCAGTAAGGTAGGTCGTTGGTAAGTGATTGGCATCATGGGCAATACCATGTCCAAGGGCCAACTTGTTAGAGCCCTACAACTTCTCCTTAAAAATTGTGGAACTCCCGTTAAGGTTCAGACCCTTCATAATCTAGTCTCAGGCCTCGCAAATACCAGCAAATGGTTCCTTCAGCAGGACACGGTTTCTATACAAAATTGGGAAAAGGTCAAGGCAGATCTTCTTCTTCACAGGCATCTCTACGGAGCCCAAACAGTCCCCCCTCCCATCCTTTTGGTGTGGCAGTTAATTCACGATACCCTCAGTGAAGGGGGACCGGCCGCTTGCGAACTGGCAGCTGAGGCCCTACGCTCCGTGGCCCAATCCGAAAGTGAAACTCCACCCGCGGCATGTGCAGCCACAGAGGCCCCGGCCGTTTCCGTGTCCCATTCCCATTCCACAAAGCTGATGGAGGACTCTTCCTCCGACAAGGGGGATATAGAGGATAACAGCGACGGCCCACCACCCCCATACCCATCAACCAAAAATCGGCGGTATCCCACCTTTCCCACTCTCCCCTCTGCCCCTCCGCTCAACCCCCCCCCCCCCCGGCTCTGACAGACTTCTGGGGGCTTGTGCAGTCCCCACTTCTGCTCTTTCAAAATTCACCTCCTCAAGCCATTCTCAAACATCCCGCGAGGAAAACACCTAGGAGTTTCTCTTTACATATTATTTCTGTAGTTGATATCCCTCTATCTGTATTACCATAGCTGTAAAAGGCTATCTACATACTTCAATTAATATAATAAGTTTCACCATAATCTAAAGAAGTCTGTTCACTTGTATTTGATAAAGTATCTTAAAAAATAGGCAAGAAGTGTTTTCACCTAGCCGTCATATAGATTAGTTCTCTGCATACCTCTGCTACTTATTTCATCCCAGTGTGCTCATTTTTTTTTTTCTAGATGTAAGTTAAAGAATAGACTAGCAGAGCCACAAAATTTTAACATGATAAGAAAATATTTAGAGGGTGATAGTCCCCAGTGATACTTTAAGTGAAATTCAATCAAACCTTACACCTTAAGAAATGCTATTCCAGAGAACTTCCGTATTAACCACCATGTTCACATAGTACTGATTGCTAGTCACTTTGATCCTGTAGTGTATAATCAACGTTTTAGTGTGTTTCATGCATTCGTTTAGTTTGAACCCTCACAACAACCCATGAGGTAGGTAATAATCCCATTTTATGTATGAGTCAGACTGAGATGAGCTACACAAAAACACCATTGTTAAGTAGCAGAGCCAGAATTTGACCTCAAAATCCCAACCACAATACAAACTTTTATTTAAATAAGGAGAAAAGACTACTATACAATATTACTCTTCAGGTGCAGCCTGTAGAGCCATGGCCTTGAATTGCTTAGCTCTGAGGAAGTGCTTCAGAGATTCCTAGGTTTAGAGATGACACCATCTGGATACCTTTGTTTGAACCGAGCAACGACATCTGGGTCTGGTAGATGGATCCCTCTTTGGCTGACTCGCTTACTTCATAGTCCACCCTCCGATCCGCCCAACAAAGAGGCACTCTCCAAACCTTCTGAAAATGATCCTCCACCTGCTACTACTCTTCCACCTCCAACTGCAAGTACCCCCCTTCCTTTGCAACACAATTCATTGGACAATAGTTAATAATCCCCCTTTCCTTCTGCTGGTTTCCAGAGAGGGGGGTATTCTCCCATCATTCTTGTCTACCAATTCTACCACTGGACTCCCTTCTACACCCTTGACCTCCGCTAGTAACTTTACCAGTCCCTCTACTATTGATTTGTCATCAGTGTTCTGTTTTACTATTCCTACATCTTACCGCAACCCTGCAGAATATCACCATTTCCCCTTGCACTCCCCTTACTATAATGACGACAGCTGACATAAACTGGACAAAGTCTGGTCTCTCCTTCTTTGGTCCCCGTCCCCCCTCCGTGCCTACGGTGCTCCATAGAGACTCCCACACCACTGAGGGACAACATCCCATTCGCTCTGGCTGGTTTCTCTGCAATTCCCTTCCTATAATGCTACCTATGGTAACCATCCCAGCACTCTCTCTGACAATGCCACTCTCAGTTTCAAAGTTAATTTTACTGTTCAAGCAGGTGTTTACGTCCTGTCTTCTTTTTATATAGTGTCTTTCAATCTATCGTTCAACAATCAATCCTCCCTCAATTGTAGCTGTCACCTTTCCTCTTGTTGGTCCAGAACCCTCAGCAATTCCTTTGTTGTCATGCGCTTTCCTAAGGTCGTTATTATGCCTGTCAATGTGTCTGAGTCTACTTCTCAGGTAATCATCCAAAATCGACAAGCAGGTCTGGCATTGGTTGTTGGCGCCTTGATCTCCATCTTCTCGATGCTGGCAGCTGCGGCCGCAGTGGTCGGCGGCCTAGCTCTATCCAACTCCGTACTCAAGGCAGATACCATCAACCTTCTCCAGTGCCTTTCTCACACAAAATTCCATCAATAACCATCTCGCAGTCAGACTACTCCAGTTGAATCAACAAGTTTCCTTAATACAGGAAGAAATCGACTTATTGACTTTAACTGCTCATGTTCCTTGTATTCCTACCTATGCCTTCACGTGTGTTGCATCTGCCATCCTTTTCAACTATTCCTTTCAAGTTCATACCCTTAATGCCTACCTGCACAGCCCGTGGAACCAAACCTTTCTCAATTTTACTGCACAATTGGCTAATCAAATTCTAACCATTAACAACACCCGTGCTTCGGTATATAATCCTGATCAGGCCCTCTCCTGGCTTTCAAAGGCCTGGGGACTGAAAAATCCTTGGGGGGAGCAATATCACTCCTAGGTACAATCCTCTTCTACCTGGGAATCATTTTCTACATCCTGTGGCGCCAGTGGAATAGATGCAAAAATCTGCGAGTAGCTCTCCAAAACGTGTGCTATTCTCCATTACAGCCCACTGAAAATCACAGGGTGTGGATAAACATTGCCCTTGACCACCTGTAGGCCAATGACGGGTAAGATGGTGGTGTACCCGTAGCAACCTAAGACAGCTCCACTACCTTACCTAGGGTCCTGGTAGTGGGTGGCTATGACGGGTAAGCACGTGAGTACGACTGCCACAACCTAAGACAGGCCCGGTGTGTGTCTCCCCCCCCCCCATCAATAAAGTAAAAACGGGGGAGCTGTCACTACAGGGCTCACACCAGCAGGGGGACCTGGGGTGGTGTTTGCTTCTGCCCAAGGATGAGTCAACGAGGTCTGATGCAACAGTAGCCAGATGTTGCAAGATCCACGTAAAGCTCATGTGCAGGCCACGTAAAGCACATGTGCAGGCCATGTAAAGCGCATGTGCAGACTTTCCTATATATATCCCTGCCCCTCGGTAATAAAGAGAGTTCCTGCTTCCAGCCAAGTGAGTGTACGTATCTTTCATCCCCAGCCCCTCCGCCGTGTTCCTGAACCCCGTCGGCCTGCGGGACAGACCAACATTCTTACATTCTTACATTTTATTCCAAGAGAAAAAATTGCATTCCATTATTTATAATTTTGCATAGTATCTAAATAGGATAGTAAGAAAAGAAAGCACATATTTTAACTTGAAATAAAGAAAAAAATCTTATTCTAAACAAAAATTGTAACCTGAGTTTGAGTTTGTATGTATGACTTCCAGTTCTCCTTTACTAAATTGTCCATGAAAACCTATATATATGCTTTCTAGTTATTTTTGCACAAATGTCTATCAGAACAAATCATGGAGAAAAGGAAATTTCATCTTCCTCTTCATCTTTTTCTTGTTAATATTGCTTAAATCCAACTTACATGTGAGAGGAGTGAAAATTCCAGGAAAAAATCTCTTGATATTTCTAGCATTATTAATTCATTTTTATAGATTGATATAATTTCACCTGTTATATAAAATTTAGCAAATTCCATAGCTTTCATAGATTGTTGGTAATTATTATTTCATAACACATATCAAAATATTTAAATATTTTCTATTTAACTATTTGTTTTATGTTACTCTCAGTAAGTATCTCTATACTGATATGGATGTGTATATTTTTATTTTGCCTTGCATAAATTTGTTTTGTTGTATAAAACATTTGGACTGATCATGCTTCCTGAATATTGGCTGACTGAATAAATGTTGAACTTTACCTGGATTTCCTTCCCATTTCATATTTAATCTTTCTTTGTTCAATACTTTGTTTGTTGTTCTCAAAATATTCCTTTATTTCCCACATCCTCACCAACACTTTTTGATTCTGGACTTTAATATTTTATTTTATATAATTCTTACATCTCTTTTCATTTTTGCACAATGTATGCAATTTCATTTTGTTTATATTCCCCATACAATTGCAATCCCCTTGTTTAGACCTTCATCCTTCCTCAGGGGACACCCACCTGTATTGTGTCTCTGGTTTATAGTTGCTTGTTGGTTTTGATTTTTACTTTATTATAATTAGTCTTTTTCCCAGTCCCTTATTTAGGTTTTCTAAATTCCTGCTATGCATCCGGTATTTTTCTTTTTCTTTCTGGCTTATTTTGCTGAGCATGATCCCTTCTAGTTCCATCCATGTTGCTGCAAATTGCATGAGTTTATCTTTTTGAATTGCTGAGTATATGCACCACATCTTCTTGATCCAGTCATCTATTTTGGGCATTTGGGTTGTTTCCATAGCTTAGCTATTGTAAATAGTGCTTCTATAAACAAAGGGGTGCAGGTGCCCTTTTGATTTAATGTTTCTGTGTCCTTTGGGTAAATACCTAGGAGTGGAATTGCTGGATCATTTGGAAGCTCTATCTTTAGCAGGATGAGGAATCTCCACAAAGCTCTCCATAGTGGTTAGACCAGTTTGCACTCTCACCAGCAGTGCAGGAGAGTTCTTTTTTCTCCACATCCTCACCAACATTTGTGGTTGCTAGTTTTTTTAATATGGGCCATTCTCACTGGTGTAAGATGGTATCTCATTGTAGTTTTGATTTGCAGTTCCCTGAGTACAAGTGATGTTGAATATTTTTTTCATATGTCTGCTGGCCATTTGCATTTCCTCTTTGGAGAAGTTTCTTTTTAGCTCTTCTGTCCATTTTTTTGACTGGATCATTTACTTTGTTTTTGTTGAGTGTCATCAGCTCTTTGTGTATTTTTGTGATCAGTATTTATCATTAGTGTTGTGTGCAAAAAATTTCTCCAGGTCGGTGGGGTGTCTCTTTTTTCGTTATTGTCTCTTTTGCTGTGCAGAAGCTCTTTAATTTGATGTAGTCCCAGCTGTTTATCTATGCTTTCACTATCACTGCTTTTGTTGATGTGTCTGCAAAGATGTCTTTGAGGTGCATGTCATGTAGTGTTTCACCTATATTTCCTTCTATATATTTTATGATTTCAGGTCTTATGTCTAGTTCTTTAAGCCATTTTGAGTTGGATTTTGTGTGTGAGGTAGTAGTCAAGCTTCTTTCTTTCGCATGTAGCTACCCAGTTTTCCCAGCAACATTTATTGAACAAACTTTCTTTGCTCCATTGCAGTTGGCAAGGATGTGGAGAAAAAAGGAACTCTCCTGCACTGCTGGTGGGAGTGCAAACTGGTCCAACCACCATGGAAAGCTGTGTGGAGATTCCTCAACCTGCTAAAGATGGAGCTTCCATATGATCCAGCAATTCAACTCCTAGGTATTTACCCAAAGGACACAGAATCATTAATTCAAAAGGGCACTTGCACCTCTATGTTTATAGCAGCATGATTTACAATAGCTAAGCTTTGGAAACAACCCAAATGCCTAAAATAGATGACTGGATCAAGGAGATGTGGTGCATATATACAATGGAATATTACTCAGTAATCAAAAAGATAAACTCATGCAATTTGCAGCAACATGGATGGAGCTAGAAGGAATCATGAAATAAGCCAGAAAGAAATAAGCCAGAAAGTGAAATAAGCCAGAAAGAAAGAGAAAAATACCGGATGGTCTCACCCCCAGTAGGAATCTAGAAAACCTAAATAAGGGACTGGGAAAAAGTCTAATTATAATCAAGAAAAAATCAAAATCAACAAGCAACTGTAGACCAGAGACACAGTACAGGGGTAGGGGGGGAAGAGAGGAGGGATTAGGGTTGAAATAAGGGGGGGTGGGAATTGTATGGAGAATATAACCAAGATGAAAATCCATACATTGTGCAAAGATGAAAAATGATGTAAAAAATATATAAAATAAAATAAATGTAAATTATAAAAAGAAAATAAATGAATGGTGTTGAAAAGATTGGCCAGCCACATGCGAAAGAATGAATCTAGACCACTATCTCACAGCATATATAAATTTAATTTTTATTTTATTCTTAAAGTGGCTATGGTCCATTTAAATTTGGGTTTTTCAACAGGCAGGCTTCGTTATAGGCCTTAGCTCCCTCCTGCTCTCTTCTAGAGAGCTGCAGATGTAATATAAATTAATTTGCATTATTTTTATTATGTTAAGGTGGGAAATATATCTAGGATATAGTGGAAAATAGTAATATTAATAGAAAATATGCACTGCTCACTGCTTTAACTTCTCTCTCCTCCACTGATCTATAGCTCTTTTATCTGTATGTAGTTGAATTTGAGGGCATGCTGCTATTTTACCTTAAATGCACAACTTTGTACAGCATAATTATTAATTTCCTTTTTTTTGACAAGGAAGATTTTATAGACTATCTACATGCCTTCTTGACATTTTGGAAAAATAGTGGCCCAACATATCCTGAATTCCAATTATGATTTGACTAACATTTTTAATCCAGTGCCATAGCTCTTAAATTAATTGATCTTTTGCCACATTCTGTTTATTTGAAATATTCATTCTCAACTGTATGACATTTTCAATATTTACTGTTTCTTCATCATTATAGGTTGCATAAAACTAGAGGAGACTGGATCAGTGCTTAAGGTAAGAGACACTACAGAGTTCTTTGTCTCTGCTTTGTATCATGTTTTGTTTGTAAAATAAGTATACATTCTCATCGTAGATGTTTTAAGCTCTTCTTCAATAATTTCTAGTTAGAGATCTTCTGTGTTAACATTGTAAAACAGAGCCAACAACAAAACTAATAATTATCAAATTAAGTGTGTTATATATGATAATTTTCTATCATCTGTTTTGTACTGTTATGTTCTACTGTGAAATCTAAGGTTGGATGCCTATATGCAGTTGTGTTATAGAGAGATCTAAAGCAAATGGTCTAGTCTCCTTAATCTAGAGACAAATACAATTATTAGTAATGATCAGATCATTGATCTGCTCTTCCAGAAATTAAAATAGCTCATATATATTTAATGCTATTAAAGTTTCCAAATGGGACTAAAAAAGGAAATATCTGAGCACAGTTTATGATTTATTTTTAATTTCATGTAATTAATTTCATATAAAAATCTAGTACCAAAATCAAATGGTAATATTTGATTAACAGATACATACTATACACGTTAACTTATTCTACAGGGCACAAAATAATACTACTTGAATAATGAACAAGTTTTTCAACAATATATTTTCAAACATATTTAAAAATTTTGAATGTTTTATTTATGTTAGAATATACAATTAAGGAACATCATAAAGAACATATTATCCCTAGACTTTTTGTTTGTTTGTTTTCCATAAGTTTTGTGAAGAAACAATGGCAAAAGCAATCAAAAGTTTCAAATATATCTTCGTAAAAATAACCCTGAACATTATTTGGACCTGAGCTTAATTATCACACTGTTAGATGATACAGAAAATCCAGATTACAGTTCAAAAGTTTTTTTAGAGTTACTGATGAATAGTGAGATAATGTGGAATTTGTGTGTGTTAGATATAACTTTGTTGGACTGCCTATCACTGAAAATTATGATAATTGAACTTGAGTATGCATTTGAATTATATATAACAAGGACAGTTTTAAAAGAACACACTGTGATGGCTCTAAGTCAGCTATAGAAAAATTGATTTTTTGGGGTATGACTAATCCAGTCTCCCACAGGTTTTTGGCAACAGTTCAGTCACCAGAGTTAGCTAAACTTCTTATTTTGATTCTCTTTATTGTACTTTTCCAATATGTCCCAATACATCACCACTGATCTCTTCTGTTGAACTGGTAGCTCTCTTATCTTGTTCTTTCATGCTCTGCGATGACTCATGGATTCCCTTTGCAAATATCTCAGCATCAAGCTGTTAGCATCAGGGCTTGGTTAGCACTAGGGTTTCCTTATTATGTACTAATACTATTTGATCATTTTCTCTTTTTTCTCAGCTTCCATCCTGCCTTCTGATTTGAAGCTTTCCTCACTATTTATCTTTCTATCATTTCTTTTTACTTCTTTTCTTATTTTGGCTTGACTTTTTTTTTCCACTTTCCATTTTTTTCCCATATTATATGATGCATGAACTTTTTTCTCTTTTGCTTTCTATATTAAATTATTAATATATTCCATTTATTTTTGGAAAATTAATTTATTAATCACCAAGAAACTTTCTCACTTTGATGAGTGGTAGACATATTTCCTTATAGAATGATTGGGAAACATCACACATTGGAAATTACTTGCTTCTTAGTATTTTCAGCAAACATCATGACTTCATAAAAAAACAATAACTGTTAAAGATTATTTTTTAAAGTCACAAATGGCTAGTAATAACAGCAAAAAATACATATATTGGCAAATTACTTCTTATCTCTTATGCTCCTCCATAAGGAGCATAAGTAAGTTACACTAGAAAAGTTGCAGTGTTTTTATCAGAGCCACTCACATGAAATTTTTACAATACTTATTCTTTTTTTTAAGATTTATTTATTTATACAACAACTGGGGTACAGGCCAGATGCGTGGGAGGGTGAGAGGATTCACCAGAGACAGAGCGGGGAACAGAACAGACAGATTGACTGAAATACACTGCTGAGGGGAGCAGTGGGTGAGACAGGAGAGGTCTGCCACACCATGTGGGTATCTCCACGGCTGGTGGGGATCGAACCAGTATTGCAGAGGCTGCTGACGGCTTCACAGCACGGCGTTCAAATGTCTGGGACACCAGGGAGGTCCTACAATACTTATTCTTTACTGAAACTTGAATCATACATTTGAAGTTGCACCATGATTAATTTTCTCAGAAATATTTATCTATCTAAGCAAACCTCAAGATTTTACTCATATGGAATCATATTACTAGTGATTGAATAAGTGTTATGTCTTCTTGTACAAATCTGGTCCCTTATCATTACTAAATTACTTTGTAATTTTATGTATTTCCCTGCTTAAAAATAAAGTAGAATGGCATATTTTAATAATATTAAATTTATGATACTACATAGCACAATATCTCATTTTTTTTTTTTTGGTGGAAGCAAGAGCCAAAGATATTTAATAATATCCAGTGAGTTGTGATCCTAATCATGTTTTCTATTTGTAAAAAAGAAAACTGGTGACAGCTTTCCAGCAGCAGATCTTCAAGGTTCTCATTTTAGTTTAAGCTGCTGGGCTACCTGGTTTCCCACTCATTTTTTTTTTAATGCCATTACTATCATTTAGTCTATCTATCTATCTATCTATCTATCTATCTATCTATCTATCTATCTATCTATCTATCTATTACCTACTTAATCAGATTTATATATTATTCAACTATCCATTCCATCATTTAGTTAGTTATTATATATGGCTATGTAGTCACTAATTTCTCCTCTTTGCTATAAATGTCTTGATGGTGAGGACAAGATCTTTTGGACTTTGTGTATCCAGAAGAATTTATGGTGCTATTTGTTCACAATTTACCAAAGACATGTTGAATGCAATGCATGTTTCTGAAGGTGAAATAAACAACCTATAATTTTACATCCTATAATTTGTATAAACTACTGAATAGTGGTATTCAAAAATAAAGTATAATTTTTAATGTAAAATTTGTCTTACATAATAGAAGGAAATCTGAAAAAAGCTCATTTTAGAACCTCCCATCAAATTTTCTTCAATCATGTAAGATATTGTACGTGCACATATGTGTGCATTAAATTTTATCATTCAGGCCCTTGTCTCCATAATGTAATTTTCTTTGTTTTGTGTTGATTATGCCTTAGAAAATAAAATAGAGGGCCTCCCCGGTGGCGCAGCGGTTGAGCACTGGGTTGCAAAGCTGCCCACAGCCTCTGCAGCACTGGTTCGATCCCCGGCTGCTCCCCGGCCACCGGAGGAGGGTCCCACATGGCGTGCAGACCTCTCCTACCACCTGCTGCTCCCCTCAGCAGTGTGCTTTGGTCCTTCTGCCTGCTCTGCTCCCTGCTTTGGCTCTGGTGAATTCTCTCACCCTCCCGCGCTTCTGACTGTATCCAGTGCTTGTACAAATAAATAAATAAATAAATAAATAAAAATAAATCTTAAAAACAAAATAGAAGGAAAAAAGTCATTATGAAAGAATCCTTTATACAGCAGGAAGTCAGATGTTGATTATGTCTTTTATTTGTTCTGATACTTCCTGAAATCTTGTTTTAATATATGCATTCATTTCAGATGAGCACAAGCATACATATATCTACACATTTCCTTCATCAATCACTATCCTTTATTTATTTAGTCATGGCAACACTGTGTTTATTAAAAAACTAGCTAAAATAAATCATGCACCTTTTGAAGGAATATTAATATCAAGTCACATAAAAACTGTAGAAGCAGAATGATAATTTAGAACTTTAAGAAGTAATATTTTGATAATACTTTTTAAAATTTTTCTTCTAGCAATTGACATAATTAATAAATTCTCTGGTCAATGATAAATTAGCTTGGTGTTGGCATGACTGGTGGTAGAGGAGTATATTAGAGAGTTTGTTTCCTTCAAAGGTAATAAATTCAATTCTAACCAGAGAATTAATCCACCTCCCAAGAGGAGTTGTGGAATGTAGTTGGTTATAGATACAAATTACTTTTTGTCTTAATTGCAGTACCAGGACGTTGACCATATGTTGATTGTATGCATTCTTTTCTGACTTTATTTTATCACAAGTTTTTACACTTAGGAAAATGTTTTCCCCTATGAATATTCATATGCAAATATCAAGAAAATAATTCTTGTTATATCTGAGATGCTCATTCATCTGTGATGTACATGTTGCATGGGGATAGATGAGATACAAGGTGTTATGATATACAGCTTCCACCCAAAGTGAAGATGTCCCCCAGAGTCATTCCAGGAAATTACAAGGATTCTGGAAATATTCTATATTGACAACAATAGTAACTCACCACACAATGAATTGTAACCAGTGATATGTGACAAAAAAGCAACTATTTATTTTAAAAGCTTAATAATTACAATAGTGACAAAAATGACTAATTTTCAGGACATCCTCATATTAAACTTATCAACAGTAAAACTTTGAGGAATAGACAAAGAGGTTATGATTCTTTGAATTTTATGGATAAGGAAAGTTGTAATGGGAGAATTTAACATAACTGGATTACATAGCATTGGACTGAAAAACCAAGTCTTCTGTCTACCATAAGAAGAATTGTCAAAAAAAATTCACAGTGAAAAAGTCCATTCATTCTTTATAAATGGAAAATTTTACTGACAAAAATTCTCTATTCCCACATAAAATTTATATCTCATATTACATTAAATTATTATTAAATAACTTAACTCTTACACTCCTCTGACCATTAAGTTTTTTAAATGCTCATATTGAATATTTACTGCTTTAACATATTTTTTCCATGAAAACAGTCACAGATAGACAACTTCTGCAATGAGATTTTCCTGTGATACAACCTAAATTTGCAAGGATGAAAAATAGAAATATCTCTATCTTTAGCCAATCAGAGCTCAGAGGTACAGACAAAAGCAACACAAATTCCACAAGTTGGTTATTGGGACTGATAAATAGAGAGATAAGTCTTAACATCATTCTTGGCTTCCATGAC